ATTAGCCACTGTATTGTGATTCTTAAATTAAACTGAAATGCTCAGAAAAATTTCTTGAAATTTCACGTTGCAACAAAAAATTACTTATACAAATTTCTAAGATGTAGTTCATTTGACACAGATCACGATAAAGTACATCAAAATAAAAGGTTTGAAGTTTCAGTTAATCATGTATTATTGTAAAGCAAAACACTGGTAAACATCAAGTTGGCATTGACACTCGATGACACTGTTTTCAATGACGTTGAATATAGCAATCAAACTAGTGTGATGGTGATCAATCACGCAAAGGATATTATCTTCTGCATATTCTTTTTCTGTTTTTGGTAAATATGTGTGTCTAGATGCATTTTGTATCCGCATTAATATACATTAGTTGGATAAAAAATAAAGAGAATATTGCTGTTACTTAAAACCGGTAATTCGGCGTGCTGCCATCTGTGGTGACAAAAGGAAGGACTGTTAGACGAGTGTGTGCAGCGAGAGTGAACTGTACTCAGTCAGCCTTCAGTAGCATGTGAATCATTGAACCTCATAGCAATAATGCAAGCACAAGCCTCATATTTACACATGTAGAGCAACGTTCGTGGCTCAATGTTGAATTGGCAAGAGGTCGGAGTAAGCAAGAATGATTTCAGGGACTTAGTAAAGCATGTGATGATGCGAGTTGCAATTTTCCACAGTCACACGAATGTAATAGCGTTAAGATTAGACAGAGATGATGTAAATGATAACCTCCGGACAGGACGAGTACACGTGGAGAACTCTTGCACCACTGGCAATGGGAGATTGTGGAACATCGACCTTACTCTCCCAATACGAGACCCCGTTGTTATGATTTCTTCAGCAAAATCAAAGAACCACTGCGAAGAACCAGGTACAATATCAGAGACGAAATGTTTCATGCTACAGGACGGTCAATATGGCACATTAACAGAAATGGACGGGCAGATGGTACACAACACCTTCCTAACATTTGGCAAACTGTCATTAATAACGCAGGTGATTATATTGAAGGTGTGTATTGAAAATACCACGGTCAATGAAAACATTTCAGAGAAAAAAAATTTCATTAGTTTTTATCCAACCCTAACATATCTCTGCATCACTATAGGCGTATTTGTGCTAATAATACCACACACAATCTATGAGTGATAGTGATTTCTAGATTGACAGGTAGGAAGTTGATACATCTACATACTATTCTTCAGTATGTCCAGTTTTCTAGTGCAATCAGTTACTGGAGAGGAAGTTTATTTTCTTTTAGACTATTATTGCTATTTTCTTTTAATCTCTATGCAAGGAAGAGGTGACAAGTATTTGTTATTCCACCATGTTAATCGAACTGTATATTTGGATTAATAAATGAGAGATATATTGTGAGAATTCCGTGTTAATATTACTCTAAATAAAAGTAGTTGTTCCTATTGACAGTATGTAAAATACAAAAAATGTAAAATGCATTACTTCTTCTAAGTTAAATAATACACTATAACGTTTTGTTTCATGTAACATTCCATGAATAATTTGTTACAACTTGCATTTAAAAGAAATTAATTTAGTTTTGAGTCGTATAGTTTTTAAAACTATTTAAAAAAAAATCATAGAATCAAGTGCAGCTTGTTTCTAATTGCCCCACAATTTGAATCGCGCGGGTACATTACTTAATCTATGTGGAGAATCGAATGAACGACTCAAAAGGCGAACGCAAGATGGCGCGAGACCAAAAGGCAGTGCCAGGGTAGGGAAACTTGGCGGTCAAAACGGGGTAATAATTTTTGCGCCATCTACAACAGATCAGTAGTGAGCCGAACTAAATGTGTGACGTCATGCAATTCAAAAAGCTGGCAATGTAGGCGGTGTTTGTTTTTCGTTACGTGCAGGCTGCAAGCAGGTAGGTGCTCTTTTTTATCGATTATTTTTCAATATTTTGTTAGTATGTAGAATGTCATGCATTTTAAGTAGATGGAATTGTGTCGCGATATTTATTTGCCATGTCTAAAACTTTGTTTTCAGTATTTTGGAAGATGAAATTAAGAAAACTGGTTCTAGACAAGTACATTGCTAAGATTTTCGCCCTACCATCTGTGGAGGTATTTATAATTCATTTTGGAATCTTGTTGCATAATTGTAAATTATTATTTCATTTGTAAACATTTACACAATGCAAAATACTCTTAAAAATTACACTTAAAAATCCGTAAATCCATGTAGTATAACCTAACCTGTATATGCCATTTATTCTGTTATATTAGTTTGAAAGTATTGTAATTATATTATTTCGTATGGTATTGGACGAGTTTTGTAATATGTCCATTGTATATCCATATATGCATTGTTTGCAATACCTTGGTATTCAAAATGTCTCATTTTCAAATTTACATAATTCATTATTGTTTGCATTTCTAGAATAGGAACACTCTAATTAGTGTATGATGAAAATGTAATCAATTTTATTTGCTTAGGTGTAAGAGTTACATTTCCATTCTGGAGGTGTTCTTCGAGTTGCAGTATGATAACTGGCAAGATATAAACGAATTTGACTTCACTAACATTAGAAGATGGAATTGTATCAACAGTGTTTCCTACAAGCCCAGCCCTCTTGTCTTCCCAAAGAACATTTCAAGAAAATATTATTACAAAGTGTGCCAGTGAAATATTTTTTTCCCTTGATGCTGGAAGTGCTGCTAGTATCGATGATATTGTAGACAAATATATTATGTCAGCAATATATATCAAATAATAATTGCCTTGTTTAGAAAAAAACTTGCCTAACAAGCACTGGAAATATATTCATAAATAATAAAAAACAATTTTGAATGTGAACAATTAAAAAACTTTTGTTATGGAATGTGTAATAAAAGATCTGTGTGTAATAAATAATATACTCTGAATATCTAAAATTTATTTTAAAAATTTAAAAATATTAAGATGGGTATGATACTTTTTTGGATATTTTACATACTTCAGTGCTACAAAAGGTTAATATATTTTAGATGATTTTTAATTAAATCATCCAAAAAAATTTAGCCAAATTTGAATTGGTAAATGAATCATCTGAACAATAAATCCTGTAATGATATTATTGATAGTCATAGTAAAAAATCTAATCCGATTGTTCTACATATACCGTCAAAATTATGTCATCCGTAACAATTCAGTATTGTTCTGCCCATGTGTAGGTTTTAATGAGGGTAGTTTGTGTGTGGACTTTGTAGAAATATTGTCATGATGTGCAGTAACCAATCAGATAGAAAATGAAAAATCTTGTATTGCAGCCTAAACAGAAGAAATCTGTGCCAATTGTTTATTAAGTTAAGATTGCCTAAAACTTGGGAGACACAGGCCAAATTAAAATTGATATCTTCCACAAATTTGCATTTCATAAAATTTTTTTTTCTAAACAATACAAATTCCCTCTTTAATCCCAGAACACTAAGCATATTTACTGTAATAATATTACTAACTACAAGACAAACCACTTGCCAAACATAAAACTAGCATAATTTATACATTTGTTTCATTTTCCTTGGTTTTCAAAGACTTACCCAAAATACTCACTGAACCAATGATTGATATTGTATCAAAATTACAATTCTATTTTTGGCTAAAAAATGTCACCGAAAATTAAGGCTGGTATGATTTTAAGCAAATGATAATTTTTTTAAAAAATCAATGATTTAAGTTAATATTTATTTATTGTAATATTTGAAAAAATAAGTTATAGAGATGAAGACTTAAATCATTACACAGTTTATACAAAGAATATCATATTTCTTATAAACTTTTTCACATAATTGAACAATTTCGAGAAAAAATTCAATGTAATATACATTAAAATGAGCCTGCTTATGAAATGAACAATAAACAATTTGTAGTAGTTATTTACTAATGGACTTGGATGATATAATAGTTTTTATCCAGCATTTCATTGTCTGTATTTAATAGCAACTTTGGGAACAATACACACACCGAGCTAGTTTCAAGAAAAAACGCGTTATATCTTCAAGCATTTTTGTAATTCTAGATTTGGAATAACTGTTTGCTAATGCCACATAAAGTATAACATTTTAGAGAAGATGAGCATTAATAAAAATTGAATTTTATTGATACTCACTTAAGAATAAAATTAATATTAATAAAACTAATAAAAACGGAATTTAATCTTACTAATTTTAATAGTATTAACCTTTTTCCTTTGTATATTGATAAAATACCATTTAAGAGAGAAGGAACTGGAGAAGTATTAAATAGAAGTTAATACTTCAAAAACTGTCTAATATTGTTGTAAGTTTTTTTATGAAATCAGTTGTTTTCAACAGTAAGAGTTTTGTGTGATTCAGGTAATATTACAGAAAAGATGGTAAAATTTTTTTGGACGAAGAATGCCTTTTTTCTGATCCATGCTAACAGGTGTTGCCACAAGCTTATACGATAATGTGAACTCATGAGAAGTAATGAAATTATAAGTACTCAAATTTCAAAATTTTTTGGGTTAGAGCGGTATTGCACCAGACCCCTCAAATGTATAGTATCTATGTGAAAAAACAACTAAAATAAACAATAAGGAAATGATCAATTTAAAACT